TAACATTATAACATGATATAAAACTCAAACAAGTTGATTTTACATGATATTGCCCCTTTAAATAATAAAATAAGATGAAATAAAACAAAACCAAGACATGTTTGATTCAGGTAATTTGACCCAAACGTCATGCAAAATAAAAAGAAACACAATATGTTCCAATGCGAAAGTATAAAATGCAAAGTAAAAATAAAATGTAACTCAAACATCTCAACTGGCTGAGTGCTAGAAGGAAAAAAATAGATATCAGGGTTAATAAATAAACATACCAATGAGTTGCCACAGTATTTTTCAAAGCGTTGTTTACATAATAGAAATRCCTGCTGTACCTTCACCTCTCATCTCTTCCTGCTGCAGCAATCAGCCACAACATGGAGCTTTTTTCCCTCAGCTGAATTAAATTAAACAGGCAGGTTTTTGCTTCTGTGTGTTTTTCTGAACTAACCCTGCTTGTTTGGTGTAAATTGTGTAATAATGTGCGTTTTGTTTTGAACTAACACTTTACATTGCAGATTTTTAGATGCCACTGTCTCTGTAAAAATGAGACGAGCAGTTTTTACAGGAAAAATAAATGCAGTCTGGATAAAGCATCTACAGTCCACCATTAGAGGGGCTCCTTATCTAGAGAGAGAAAAATACTATTTAATTATAATATTTTAAACTATTTACAGAGTTATAATGGAGATTCTTGGAATCTTTACAAACATGAGTAACTATGTTTCTTCTTTCTTTCGATTAGCAAATTCGCATTTTTCGTCGGAGGAGTACARCGCCCAAACTAGACTTGGCTGAGTTTTTGAAGTATTTGTCAGATCACTACAACTGTGATTCTCCTTACGAGTTGGGCATCAGGATACACAGCTTTGGCCTGCCCATAGCGGTAAGAGATGGGACATCTTGAGGTTATGTTGCATTATTGTTCTCACATGGTGGACTCAGTGGCAGCTGTTTGATTCACTGCAGTCAAAGATCTCAATACTGGTTATGCATAGTTTCAATGTTTAACTCTGAATTCTGTGTCCACTGAAGAGTCTGACAAAGGTGGGCCGTTTTGAGAACACAATGCTGGAGCAAGCCAAAGAGATCATCCAGAAAGAGCTGGAGGAAGAAGCCTTTGAGCGTCTTAGAAAAATCAAGAAGAATGTTTTAGAGTCGGTGCAAGGTGCAGGTCCCTTCTCCTCCTCCTCCTCAGGAAGCTTGGATCTCAGGAAGAAGTACGCCTCTATGCCTGCAGGAGATGTAGTGCTGGAGGTCCTGTCCAATGCAGTGGGAGTGTTCAGCTCCAGGATGGTTAAGGTGGGTGTCAGACTGTGACAAAGCACTCAGTTATTCTAGACTGGACTGATGAGCCAATAATTGTTGTTATAGCAAAACCAACTTTGCATGCGTGRATGTTGGCCTAAGGAAATATTTGCTGATGCAGCTAYATTTTCTTTTCTACTCCAGCACATCGAACAGTTCCTAATGCAGGTGTCTCATGACCGTCTGGCCAGAGCTCTGTTTCAGCTGGCTGTATGTGGAGGCTCTTTGGCTGTTCCACCGGACCTGGTGCCCAAAGAAAAGACCCCTAAAACTACAGAACAAGCTAAAACAGTGAACAAAGCTGCAGCATCCCTCCCCAGTGAAGGTTACTAAACAGGACATGCTGTTTCTGCCACTGTTGGAGTAAAATGATGTGTTTACTCAGACTGGACTGTGATTAACAGACATGTTTGTATTGTCTTTCAGCCAAAGTGAAGCAGTTTCTGAAAGACAGCCTGGCTGCGCAGAACTCCACCATCACTCTAGCCAACATTGCTGCTCTGGAGAGGAAGCTGACCAAACAGTTTCTTCTCAAAGACTTCCTCTCTTTAGAGCAAGGCACCTTTCTTGAATTCTTGGTGAAACACATTCAGGTATATTTACAGTTTTCAGAATTTCAGGGTGTTTTCATGGTGAGACCACCCTACACTCTTCATATCCTGACTTTCTGTACCTTCTTGCAGCTGCTGCAAGACACCCTGGGGTCTGCTCTGTTTCTGGGGAGCAACATGGAGCTCACCGGCAGCAGTTTCCGACCCACCAGACAAGACGTGTTTGAATTCATCAAACAGTGTGGCGACGTCTCCTCCACTGAGCCAGACAACGTGAGTCAGTTATAGACATTACAGCTGCTTCAGAAGGCACACACCATGATAAGAATCCTCACTAACTTTCTGCTGTGTCTCAGCTCTTTCACATTGAATCAGCACTGAGGTCCCACTACAGGGTCCGGGACAGTCGGGACTTGGGTTACGGCACCCTACACATGCTGGCTGGCCTGGTCAAACGACAAAGAGAGCTTGCTGGAGGAGGGCTGAGCCCAGTCTACTACGAGTCAGCTTTGTTGGCCAAACACAATAAATCAAGGTTAGATTTTTCTRGAATTTTTAACCAAACAATAAGCCAGGTGATTTAGGAAAGAAATTTCAAATACCAGAACTGCAAGCAGTAATGACAGGGGTTCAAGCCCTCAAACCTTTGTCCCCCATTCATCCGAGGACCTGCCAGACCATAGTCTTTTAGATTTGTAGGTCATATTTTGATYGAAGTCCCCAAGCTCCTGACAGTTTTCCACACAAAGGAACCTCTTCTAAATAAAACCAGCTATTTTACTCTGTTCAATGTCAGACAATCTAATCATGTTATTCTAAAAAGTAATAATGGAAGATAAACCATTAACTGCTTTTAGTAGGAAAATAACACGCACACCAGAAAAAAATTCATCAGTGTTTTTTGTTTAAGAAGGAGTATTTTGGGGTTTATTTGTGTCCCAAAGATCTCAAATTACATATTACAGTTTCAACATTTTGAAGTCCTCCAAAAATCCATATTAAATATCTGGTTGTTATGTTTTTAGCATCACCTAGTGGCTAAACTGTTCTAAAAATTTCAAGTCAAGTCAAAGTTTATTTATATAGCACATTTACAACAACCTCAATTGACCAAAGTGCTTAACAACAATCACATCACGTGTAGCTAAGGATAAAACCAACAAAAAAATACAATTAAAATGAAAATTTCATAAAAATGATGAAGACAATATTAAAGTTGGCAGTAAAATACCAAAAAATAATAATACAAATATAAACCAAGACATACTTCTTCATATGTTCTAAAGCTTTGGGCGGAGTTTTTAACTTGTACAATAATGAAGCGCAAACCTTTATGCTAATAAAAATAACATTTTAACAAGTAATCCTCAAATTTTAATAACAAGGAATATCGAGAGTTTGTCAAAACAATGTAAAAAATGAACATCACAGATGCAGCAGACTTTGTTTTTGTACAAGCCTAAACTTTCTTTCACTGATTTTTTTTTTCAGTCCAAAAAAACTTAAACCTTTACAGAAATGTTCTGAAGAAGAAGCCCACTGATTTTTGTGGTGATTAATATAACGTTTGTAGGGATAAAAAATACTTTTCCAGATTTAAAAAATAGAGCAAAGGTTTATTTTCCACAATGTTTGGGACCTTTTTAAGGAATACATCCCAAAAACCCTGAAGCAAAGACTTGAAAAATAAATTCTAATTATAGCTGAATGTTTTCACATGTACAATGTTGTTTTTTAGTAACGTCTCCAATCATTTCTTGTTCTCGATTTTTAATGATATACTTTCTTTTTCTTTCTCCCATCACTCCTATAAGCAGCGCTGAGAGTGGACATGAGTCAGTGGGGCGTTTAGGCGAGACATCTAAGGCTCAGGCCCTCGCCAGCTTGCTCTCCTGCCCTCTGCTGGAGGATTTAAGCCAGTGGAGCCAATGGGAGCTGATCTTCAAACCAGCTTATGGCTCCCTCAAAGATTTCATTGACAGAAACGCTGGTAAGCACGAGCACTTGTTTTCACACTGCACTGTTATATTTTTCAAGTTTAATGGGTGGTAAAATGCAGGAGGTGTGAAAGATAAACAGATCGCTGAGGAAAGGTCTGGATAAACTGTGGCACATTTAAAAGCTTTATTAAATATTTCTTTACAATCACAGTTAAAACTATATTATGGTAGAGTCAAAAGGAGTCGGACATTGACCAACGACACTGTTGCTTGTCTTTTCTTTTTACAACATATGTCATCTAGTGATGTGCAGATCAATACTGAAATATCGATACTACGGATACCAGAACTTTATGTTCTAGAATCGATACTAAAATCAAAATATTGATACTTTGATACTTCACTTATTTCACATAATGTTTTCACATTAACAGGAAAATAGTGGAAAATAACTAAACTATTCAAATCTTGTCTAAATCAAATGTGGTTGGAAGGAACTACTTTTGTCTTCTGCTTTGGTAATGCATGCTCACAGAGGCACATGCTCAGTCACTCAGTCTGTAGATGTATGGCAGGTCATTTTAACATAAAATCTATTTTGTCTGACTGTTATTAAATTCTAGTTCTCAAACTTTTTCATGCCAAGGCCCCCCAAACAGGATTAGTTCTGGCCAAGGACCTTCTTGCAAACCCACAAACAATGCTACAAAATGTACAAAGTAACAACTTTTAGACTGTTTTCTCTCACTTTTATTCACTATTCAAAAATTATATTTCTTTAGAATAAGAATTGTGCTAAACAAATATAAGGTTAGTGTTAGAAAGACTTTTAAATTAAATAAATTACTATGTCATGYATTATTTATAAAGCAGTTATCTGAAAAACACTGCTTTACCAGGCACATTATGTGTGTTAGCACAAAGTATCAGTATCGGATCAGTATCACCGATACCAGCCAAATTTTACTTGGTATCAGTATCGGAAAGAAAATTGGCAGTATCCATCGAACATCACTAATGTCATCTAATGAGCATGATTAGCTGTTAGATATTTAGGAATGATCTTGGAGTTTAGTTTTCATTAATTTTTTTAAGTGCCACAGCTCTTAAGGAAATTATTATTAGCACTGTTTTAGTTTATAACACTAAGAATGAACTTATTTATTGGAACTTTGGCATTGGAGCCTGTTAATCAGTTATGATATCTTTTTGTTAGCATAAAAAGGCCCCATATATTGATGGGTACAAAAAGAAGCCACCTTGTACTCTACTTGGCAGCCAACATCACTGGTTTCTGTAACATTTTCCTTTTTTTTTACTTTTTTCTTGTCTAAATAAAATTGAAATTAATTGTCAGTCTGTGCACAGCTTATAACTATCTAGTAGAAACACCGTATTACCAAAGGCTAAAATTTAGTTTAAATTAATAATCGTTTTGTTTACTACACAGCAAATACAGGCCTGGTAGCRTTAGAGGAAACACCTGGCGTGCTGCTTCGGATCACAACAGACACGGGAGACAAACACTTCAGCCGAGCGGCGGCTGCCCTCGAGCCCATTGGCACAGCCGGCCACCTCGTGTCCATGGTGGTAGCAGATGGGATCGACAACACCCCCACAGCCCTCCTGGCCAATCACATGGAGAACTCTCTGGCGACAGCTGTTGCTAAAGAGGGTAGCGATGTTATTTGTTTATTCCGAGTCACACGCAGCTTTTGACATTTCGACTTCGGCCTGACAGCGTCGTCACCTGAATGTGTTGTGTTGTCAGATCTGACCCAGGCTGAAGAGGACGTGATGTGTTACAGCCGCGTGGCCAAGTTCCTGCTCAACTCTTTGATACGAATTCCCATAAGAACCTGCCAGGCTCTCCTGCAGCAGGTCAGTGATGCTGTGAGAGATTATCACCGGTGAAACATTAATGTGCACTGTTGTTTCCGCAAGAAAGATCTGTTAAAGCTGGTTTAAATGGAAAACATGGTGAGAGTAAACTACCTTAGTGGGTGGTGTTAAATGTTTTCTGTTACTCTAAAAGCTCAACAGGAAGTAAAAACAAAAGATCAGCATGTTAAGATCAGCTGTGACTGTGATTCCTGTATGATTGTGACTTTCAGGTGTTCCTGGAGCCCTTCTCTCGTGTCCTGGGCCAGGCCAAGTCCAAACAGGTCCTGATCACTGTGGCCCAGTCCAACCCGAAACACCTGAACCACCTGCACCAGCTGGGCATCCTGCTGGGCGTTACAGACTGGGTGAAAGATTATCAGAAAAAGCTGATCCTGAATCAGAGTCAAAACCAAAACACTTGTTCTGCACGTGTGGGTCAGGCTCAGGTGAGAAGGAACATTAAAATAAAAAGTCACAGAAACATTGGGCCTCATGCAAGAAAATGTTCGTATTCTTATCCTAAATTTCTCTTACTTTTGTTTGTATGAAGGGTTCGTACGAACATGTCACGTCAGATTCAACAAACTCTTCTATCTTCAGGAAAAGTGCGTAAATGAGCTGCGTAATTTCCACCTGTTCATATCCAGCTGCTCGTGCACGTGAGAGGAGATTAGCATAATTACCACCCCAAAAACACCATATAAGGCTGTGTTTCCTGCCTCTGATTTCAGGAAGTGTCCATTCATGAAAATGAGAGCAAAAACTAAAAATAAAAACTTTACGAGTTCAGAGATTGAAGTCCTGCTGTCAGAGATCCAGAAAATAAAATCTGTCATT